TCGACGGCACATAACAACAACAACAACATGAAAAGCATAAGCTCTGAAGCCAAATTTTATGGGTTCAAATCTCAGCTTCCCCACTTACAGGCTGCATGACCTTGAGCAAGTCACTTTACCTCCCTGTGCCTCAGTTTTCCCATCTGTAAATGAGATCATAACCACCTTTCCTATAGAACTCCTATGAGGGGTCAATGGGCCATTGCATAGAAAGCTCTTGGCACAGAGGAAGCACTTCATAAATGCCTATTATTATTCCTATAATTTGCCACACTCATGGTGCAAAGAAATGCCAAGGCCATTGTTAAAATGCAGGTGTGTCTGGTGCCAGAATCCACCTCCTTAACCCTGACCTTGACTGCTGTAAGACATTACTGAGTTATGTAACCCAGAATTGAGTCAATCAGTTGAACATTCATCATCAGAAATAGAAGAGCTTGGGGAGCTGCCTATAAGGTCCTTCTCCAGGTCTACTGATGGTCCTGCTGAACTTTACACCCAGATGAAGCTGGTGAGAAGCCAGAGAGAAGAGTGCATACCCACCCCCACTCCCCAGATTGCAGAGCCTTTTCTTCCTCAGCTTGGAGTTCTGACCCAACATTTCAGAGATTGGAGCGTGTTCTAATTATAAAGCCTCCCTGAAACTCCTTCAGGAACATGAGGTGAGCTGGGCAGCTAGCAAGCCTCGGCGAGTGTGGAATCTCCTCTCAGCTTCTTGATCTGCCAGCTGGGAGGGGCCTGTGAATGCATCTGCTGTGTGACTTTGCAAGGGAATCACACATGAGGTTAGGGCTCAGGGGGCCACTCTGGTTCCTACATAAGTTTCTACAGCAGCTGTTGGTAGTTATTCTCCATGATGAGACTGGCAATCTATTCATGGTGGGATCTACCACAAGCCGCTGAGTAGCTGCTTTGGGTATGTGGTCTGCTTCCCATATATAAGGAGCAGCTTTGGGAAGGGTCTCTAGCTTATGGCACCTTGAACCCTGCATGTAGCCATGTCGTTGTTCAGCAGCCTGCCATGATGTTCTGCCGACCTTGAGACTTACAATGGACTTAAATTGATGGCTTGCCGTGTGGTTTGGTAACATCGGGACAGTGCCTTTTTACTTGTCAACCTTGGGCTTGGCAGCCTCAGCAGCCAGCAGCTGTCTGATTGAAGAAAAGCCTCTAGCTTCAGTGGGCCGGGAGCTGGAGGCAGAGCTGAAGCCCAAGGCTGAGGGGCTTTCATACAGCCCCTAGAGCCTGGCACTTTGAACTTGGACTTGGACTTGGACTAGCCTCTCGAACTGTAAGAGAATAAACTCTTATTTGTTAAGGCCATCCCATTTGTGGTATATTCTTATCAGAGTGGCACTAGGTAACCTGAACAATCAGTATCTCTAGTATGTGACACACAGCAGGCACTCAATACATACATGTTGAGTGAATAATTGAATCAGTAAATGAATGAATGAATAATGCATATCATGCTCTCTAGTGTCTGGCACACAGGGGTGTTCAATAAACGTATGTTGAATGAATGGGTGAAGGAATGAAAGAATGAGTTAACAATCGATAAAGGCCAGGACCAATGTGAGGAATGGTGAGGACTCTAGTTAGTGAGAACCCTGGAGGCCTGTGGGACATTTCTGCAGAGTCCCAGGGCAGCGTTTGGATAGAGCATGCTGGCTGTGCCTGGCCTTCACAACGGCTATGACAGTACGCAGGAGGAAGATTTATGGCCTTGGAAACCCAGTGGGGGTCTCTATGCGTTGGAATTGACTCAGTGGCAGTGAGATGAAGCTGAGAGAGATGAACCAGAGAGAAGAGCGCGTACCCACCCCCACCCCCCAGATTGCACAGCCTTTTCTTCCCCGGCCTGCAATTCTGGCCCAACCTCTGAGAGATGGAGCGGGTTCTAATTATAAAGCTTCCTTGGAACTCCTTCAGGAACATGGGGTGAGCTGGGCAGCTAGCTTCAAATGTGTGCCTAGTCCTCACTTTCTGGGCAGCAGCCGTAGTCAGAGCCAGCTGCGATCTGCTGTGACCTGGCAGCGTGGATCAGTGTGCCTGTCTTTGCCTGGGATCCCCCCGGCTCTAACCTCACCGGGATGACATAGCCTCCAGGCAGCCCCTTGAGGGGGCCTTAGGCTCCACGCCCCAGTCTGTCTCCCTTCTTCCCTCCTCCTCTCCTGTTCTCCTGCTGTTTTTCTTCTTTCATTTTCTCTGTTGTGAATTATGCCTTGAGTCTGATTTAAGATTCCTTGAGTTACAAGGAAGAAAATCCCTATCCAGTAGCTTAAACTGAAAGGAGGGAATTAACTAGATGTGTGGCAGGTACCAATTTCACAGTTATAGTCTTAAGGATACAGAAAAGTTGCTTTATTATTATTAGACTAAATCCATGGTTTCCAAAACTTTGGTAATTCCATTCCCACCTGTTCTCTTATGCACTTTAAATACACACACATACACACACATATATGTATGTGTGTGTGTACACATATATACGTACATACATACGTATGTATGTATGTATGTATGTACTGCTGCTGTTAGGTGCCATCAAGTCGTTTCTGACTCCTAGCGACCCTAGAACAACAGAGGGAAACACTGCCCAGTCCTGTGCCAGCCCCACTATCCCCACTATATTTGAGCCCATCATAGCAGCCGCTGTGTCAATCCATCTCGTTGAGGGCCTTCCTCTTTTTCATTGACATTCCACTTTACCGAGCATGATATCCTTCTCCATAGAATGGTCCCTTCTGACAATATGAGCGAAGTAGGTGAGACGAAGTCTTGCCATTCTTGCTTCCAAGGAGCATTCCGGCTGCACTTCCTCCAGGAGAGATCTGTTAGTTCTATTAGCAGTCTGTGGTACCTTCTGCATTCTTCACCAACACCACAATTCAAAAGCATCAACTCTTCTTCAGTCTTCCTTATTCATTTGTCCAGCATGTTTGGCTTTTAGTTTTGGAGTAGGTGTCAGAGTTTAAGATTTGAAAGCTAACATCAATGGTTTGACCTTTTTCCTCTGAAATGTCCCCAGGAGGCCAGCGCATGAACTCAGCCTCAGAGGTGTGACAGAGCCCTGCAAGAGTGAGACCTTCCCCAGAACTCATGGTGCATGTTGAAAATTCCTGTAAAATGTACATTCTATTCCATAGTACGTTTGGTGTTGGTTATGATAGAAAAGTCATTTTTTAAACTACATTCATGTTTAATCTTTTCTCAGATCTTTAAGTGGAATGAACACTCCAGGAATATGCCCCATATTTATCTTGCAGGGCTGTGTCCCTCAACAGGTCTCAACCTATGGCCCCTTTATATAAAGTATGCCATAAAAGGAGCTCTGGTGGTACAGTGGTTAAGGCATTTGGTCGCTAACCAAATGGTTGGCGGTTCAAACCCGCCTACCCGCTGCTGCGTGGCAGAAAGATGAGGCAGCATGCCCTCTGGGGCAGTTTTACTCTGTCCTATAGGGTCACTGGGAGTCGGAATCGCCTTGATGGCAGTGGGCTTTTGGGTTTATGTCATAAAATAAATTGTTGTTGTTGTTACATGGCATCAAGTTGGACCCGACTCCTAGCGACCCCTCCTTGGGTTTCTGAGGTAGTATCACTACGGAAGTAGATTGCCCAACCTTCCTTCCGAGGAGTGGCTGGTGGGTTTGAACCACCAGCCTTCTGGTTAGCAGTCAAGTGCCTTAGGCACTACACTACCAGAGCTCCTAAATAAATTAATAGTGCTTGCTTAGTATCTGGAAATAAATAAACTCACATAATTTAAATGAAAAGATCAATGCTCATGCCCTATGACATGAGGGAAAAATTTAAAAAGAAGGTAATAAAATATATTTTCTCTTTAATAAGCCAAATGTTCCCACACAACTATACCTAGATGATAAGAGGAAGTCATCAATATTTGCCTCTGATTACAAATACATTTGGATTTAATTAATTTAATGAAGTTTTTTTTTTTTTTTTAAATAAAGGAGCTCTAGTGGTATGGTGGTTAAAGTATTCATCCGCTAACCAGAAGGTCAGTGCTTCAAACCCACCAGTCAGTCCTCTGGAGAAAGATGAAGCAGTCTTCTGTAAAGACTGACAGCCTTGGAAAGCCTATGGGACAGTTCTGTTTTGTCCTGTAGGGTCGCTGTGAGTCAGAATTGACTCAATGGCAGTAGGTTGGGTTTTCTTTATAGCTGATATTTTGAAACAAGGTATAAATAGGTACATTCACATGTAACATCCCAGTGAAGGCAGACTATCAGAGTGTCCCAGCCATGACTCAGATACCACAAATGGTGTTGGCATTAGCAACATGGTTTCCTGAAATGGCGAAAAGCTTTGCAAAGTTCCAGATCCAACAAAGCATAGTCTTTCTTTGATTTACATGAGAATTGGATTCCTGGAAAATTATCTATTCACATTATGCAAAAAAAAATTGTTTATATGAAAAACAGAGTAAAGGTTTCGGTGCAGAGAACTCTAAACTGTTTTCGGATGCAGGACTGTGGGATGGGCATTAGAGATGGTGCTGGATGTAGGACAAATCTTTATTGTAGCTCATGCACTGGGGGGTGTCTGACATCTCTGGGCCCTGTCCATGAAGTGGCAATTGTTGTGACAACCTGAAATGCCCCACAATTTTGCACTCACCCCCCCCTTTGAGTGCCCAGGTCACCCCTGGAAGTGGCCTCGTTGTGACTGTTGGCTGCCATCAAGCTGATTCCAACTCATGGCGACCCCATGTTACAGACTAGAACTGTGCCATAGGGTTTTCTTGGCTGGAATCATTATAGAAGCAGATCACCAAGCCTTTCTTCCACAGCACTGGTACTTCCAGGTGGGTTCAAAACACCAACCTTTAGATAAACAGTTGAGCATAAACTCTTTGTGCCATGTAGAGACCTTGTGGCTGCCTCCCTGTCGGTGGCTTTAAATGTGGGTGCAGGGGCCACCGTACCTGGAGGCGCTGCAGAAGCCCTTGTGACTTGGTGTCATCCTTCTTCACAGGGGCTGAAGGTCAGCGTGCTGTGGACCCTGTACTATGGCATCCTCAGTGCATTCGCGCCTGTGTACAGCTGGATCCTGGTGCTCCGGGGCCTGGTGGGCTTCGGGATCGGAGGGATCCCCCAGTCGTAAGTAAACACCCAGCAGCCCTCGGACCAGGCCTCCAGTCAGATCTGTGCATGCATGACTGCAAAGGTGGCTACACTGTGGCTCCTAAGAGGCAGCAATGAACTGTAATGTCTCCAGACCAAACCTGTTGCCATCAAGTTGATTCTGACTCAGCGATCCTAGAGGACAGAGGAGAACTGCCCACAGGGTTTCCAATCTTAAAGAAAGCAGATTGCTCATCTTTCTCCCATGGAGCAGCTAATGGGTTTGAACCTCTGATCTCTACTTGGCAGCTGAGAGTGTCACCATTGCACTAAAACTAGACAAAGAACACCCAAGTAAGAGCAGACTATTTATTCAGAGCTTGCAATAACAAGATAGTCAACCACCTTCACTTGTGTTTGACAGAGACTCAAAGGTAGGCAGGAGAGTAGAAACACTTTATGGTGGGGAAAAAAAATGGTAACTTCAAGTGTGCCCCGATGGGAGGCTGTTGGCATGGGGAAGCTGGAGACAGGCTAACTAGAAGAGGGCATTTTATGGGACTAACAACAACATAGTGGTGGTGGTTGTTAGTTACTATCAAGTCAATTCCAACTCATGGTGACCAATGTGTACAGAATCAAACTGCTCCATAGAGTTTTCAGGGCTGTGACTTTTTGGAAGGAGATTGCCAGGCCTGTCTCCCAAGGTACCTGTGGGTAAGTTCGAAACACCAACCCTTTGGCTAGTAATCAAGTCATCAAGTGCTTAACCATTTACATCACTCAGGGACTCCTATATGATTGATGGGAAAAAAGAAAAAAAAACAAAACTCACTGCCATCGAGTTGCATCCAACTCATAGCGACCCTTCCTTGGGTTTCCGAGGCAGTATCGCTACGGAAGTAGATTGCTTAATCTTCTTTCTGAGGAGTGGCTGGTGGGTTTGAACCGCCAGCCTCCTGGTTAGCAGTCAAGAGCTTATTTTGTCTTCTCTGATTGGTCCTAAATTGGAAGTGGAGACAAAAATTAAGGAAGCTGTCAGTTATCAAGTCCTGGCCATTTGAGGCCCATTGATACAAGGACTATTGCTGGGTTTTCTGCCCTGGTAGCTGCAGAGAGTGGTTTGTCTTCCTGGCTGGCTGTTGTAGGTAGTGGGCCCGCATCCTATTTTTATATATGATCTGGCCATTGTCCAGTTGTTCATTCAGACTCTCCCAGAAAATGTTTTCATCATAAGTATTATGATGGTTAATCCTAACAACAAAGCCTCTCAAGGGCTGGAAGGTCGTAAAAGTAAAATAATGAGAAAACTAATAGTTGATTGACCATGTTTACACATCACAGCAGCCCCAGAGGGTGTATGTTCTTGGATTGTCACAGTCTGCATCTTACTCTTGGGAAAACTTATGCTCAGTGGCAAAATTATTTGCCCAAGTCATACAGTGTGTAAGTGGAATGAGGCGTCTATGACATCTGTGCTTTTAACAACTACAAATGGTGCCTTTCACACCCTCCTATCCTAAACACAAGATAGGAGGTAATGCTAACCATAACAGAGTTTTTTTTGTTTTTAATTTTTCAAGGTAGTTAGAGTTTTTAGAGTTGTAGGAAGAGGGTTTGGGGAAAACTTCCCAAGTGAGTGGCATTTGTGCTGGGCCTAAAGGAGGAACTAAGGAGCTCTGGTGGCTCAGTGCCTAAGACATTTGACTGCCAACCAGAAGGTAGGCAGTTCAAACCCACCAGTTGCTCCACAGAAGGAAGATGGGGCAATCTACTTCTGTAAAGATTTACTGCCTTGGAAACCCAATGGGGGTCGCTATGATTCGGAATTGACTCCATGGCAGTGAGTAAAGCAGGGTTTGGCAAACTACAGCCTGTGGGCCAAATCTGGCCCCCTGCTTGTTTTTGTAAATAAAGCTTTATTGGAACACAGCCACACCTATTCATTTATGTATTGTCTATGACTGCTTTAGCCCTACAGTAGCAGTGTTGAGTAGTGGGGTTGGCTCAGACCCAGCAAGCAGGAAAGGCAAACCAATATCCAGATCATGTGCCATTCCAGACAAAATGAGTCACTCACTGCTCCTTCTAAAATCAAAGGGGTCCAATGTCAATAACCTGCCACCAAGTGACTTGGGATGGTTTCATGCTCAGCATTGGTCTCTGTTGCTGGTGGAATGGTTCTTTGGCAGCAGAAGTAACTAGATAAGCCTTGGTGAATGGGCATCTGGTCATTGCACCAGTACAGTTCCTGCCCTCAGAGAGTCAACAGTCCAGTGATTGACTTCTTGAACCTGCTTTAGACTGATCAGGAGATATGGAGAGAGCTCTGACAGTGCAGTGGCTAAGGCATTTGTCTGCCAACTGAAAGGTCAGTAGTTCAAACCCACTAGCTGCTCTGTGGGAGAAAGATGAGGCAGTCTGCTTCTGTAAAGATTTATAGCCTTGGAGACCCTATGGGGCAGTTCTACTCTGTTCTATAGGGTCACTATGAGTCAGAATCAACTTGATGGCAGTGGGTCTAGTTTTTTGTTTAGGAGAGATGGTCTAGAAGGTTAATGTTAATTCTGAAGTAGTGTGGCTAGACTGTGGGCTCTGAAACCTGGTGACCTGGGTTTGGATCCCGGCTCAGTCACATCATAGCTGTGTGACTTTGAGCACCACAACAGCTGCCCTAGGGTTCTCAGCATGGGCTTTGAGGACAAAGGGGGTTGCCCTGAGTCAGAGTCTACTCAACAACAGTGGAAGTCCCTGGGTGATGCAAACAGTTTGTCCTCAGTTTCCTTATCTGTAAAATGGGATAATAATGGACTTATTTTATGGAGCCAATGAATATTAAATGGAAACACATTAAAGTGTTCAGAACAGTGCCCATTGGAGTCCACCAATAAATCTCAGCAAGCATCTGAGTTGCCAAGGGCTTGGGTAAGAACCTTGAGGGACAGTGCGTCATAGTGGAAAGAACAAATGGCGAGGAGAGGTGATGTGACTACATGGTTCCCCAGACTTCTCCTGCCACTCAGTTGCCCTCAAGCCCTCTCTCCTTGTTCATGATTGATTCCCCCACGACCCTGCACAGTAGGCAGCTGGTACACAGCCCCAGCTCTGGGATGGGCTTAAGAACCACTGAAGCTTGAGAGAGATCTGGCAAGATGGCGGACTAGGCAGAAAGACTGCACAGACCCTCTTCAACACAAAAAAGGGAAACCAATTAACACAGACACAGGAGATAATCTTGGACCCCTGAGCCTTGAAGGGAAGGATATAGAAGTGGACTAAACCCCA